CCTCAAATACTAATAAGCTGTCTTATACATACCATGAAATTACTCTGTTATATGTATGTACGAGTTGTGGAACATCCCATTCCATATTAATCGCATGCGTTTGCACTTGGTTCAAAATATTTAAGTTTCTCCAAAATTTCAATCTTATGTCTCATGAAGTATTTGCCGAGTTGTTACGACTTAGCTGACAATAACATCAGAATATGTCCACGACGAAGAGCGCTGATTTGAGTCTGTTGTTCGTACGGACTTTGATTCACCAGTGTTAGAACCACTTTGGAGACAGTATGACTTTACCAAGTTGCGCCCCAATTTTGAAAGAGAATCTTCTGGAGAATGGATCCAAAAGCCTCCCACCCCTCTTTTCCAAGCTATCAAACCCCTCAAGACGCTCGCTGTATATTTTAAGTAACCCCAGTTCGCAAAGACCTTACACACTTACAAAAATCTACGGACTCTCTGTGGTCCGAACTCTGGTCGAATAATACACCAGCGAGCAACGCAAGTCATCGATCAAAGTGACATTTAATTAGCTTCCTCGATGTACTCATTGTTTCAAGGTGGCAAAGGGCGACCGATAGTACTGCGTCATGATCATCTTCGCTTCAAGTATGACACATCCGTATTAGAGATCGTATTAATGCTTGATCGCCGTATGATTTACTCAAAATTCCATACGTTTCCATTGTTCTTTATTCTGCTTTAAATGTTATTGCGATTTTGTAATCAAATTTCGAATTCATTACAGCAAACATTCCCAGGATGAAAGCTAATGATTAAGTTATAGCTTTGGTCTGGTTTATTTCTTTATCTCAAAGGAATCGAGGGCTGTCTGTCTAAAGGGATAAATGCCTTCGTGGAATACTTTCTAAGGGAAATTGACTCGTTAAAAGTATAGGAAGTTCTATTTTAAGCCGCCGATATTTCAAGAAAAGCAAGTTCAAATGTCACAGCAATAAGTGCAGCAGTTATAATTTGGAATGCTTGCTGGTTAGTCCTAAATCTTTGAAGACGCATTGTGTATCTGTGTGTGTCTGTCTTATGATGCTAAGTAAGGTCGCAAACAAATTCATTCAATTGTATTCAAGAATTGATTGAATATATTGATTTTAAGAATTGATTGAATATATTGATTTTAAGAATTGATTGAATATATTGATTTTAAGATCGGTGTGTTTGTGCATGTGGGAGATATTGTGGATGCCATTGTAATGAATATCAAGGGTAAATAAAAAATGTTGAATTAATATTTCAGTGTAATATGGCATAAGGAAACAAACTGGCTTCAGACATATCCACACAGTCAAGAACGGGATATAGAAATACGTTATTTAGCTTCTTCACATTATCCAAACCTGCTGAATATTTAATTAGAATCTACATCTTCAGAACAAGTATACGGCAGTATATATACAGTAAAGCAATGCTTTCAGATTAATGTGCTTATCTCCTTTCTCCAAGCATTTTAATCCATTTGGAAAGCAATAGTCCGTTGGAATGATCTTAGCAAGGTGCAAAATTAAGTCTTGGTCAAGGAATTCCAAGGATTCGGTTTTCCTCATCCACTTCGTTCTCCTCGATACTCCTACTACCTGCATAAGAATGACCCGTATTATCACACATAAGCCTTACGCCGCTTCCCCTGATGAGATTCTTCGGATATTTCAGAATGCCTCCATATCTCTATTCCCCTGAGAAGTGGCCTAAAGTTATTTCACTTGGCAAACGCTTATGTGTAAATGTCTAATTCAGTATCCATATACGTGGTACCCGAGCCAGAATTATTAAATCCAAAACTGTTACGTTTATTCTACGGGCTATTGGAATGAAACCAGAGAAATTTTAAATCGCTTTTAGAAGTTTCTATTCTATTCCCGCTTTTGGGAAATCTTTTACTGTTTGATTTTCTAGATAACAGAAACTGACATTTAGCGCATAATAATCATTTTCAAAAACATTACGTTTGTGCCGGTAAACGAAAGTTCATTTATTTTAATTACTTTGCTGTATTTTTATAGTAAAAATTGCATGTGTAAGGTTAGATTCATTTATTTGAATACGAGCAGCTACTCTTCCAACCTTCGTCTGGCTTTTAAAATGTACCGGAAAAATGCCTGAAGGGAACACCAAACGTTAAATTTAAAAACTGCGCAGAATTTTACTCAGCAGAACAAATTTAAAAAAAATTACAAATTTTAAAAAAAAGTATTACATATAACAAAATTACAGTGAAATTAGCAATAACCCTTAATACAAATATTAATTATCCTAATAAATAAATTTAACAACACCCCGTTGTTTTTTTTTTTTCAACAAACGTTCAGTATCCAAGAGAAATATTAAATTTAAAAACTGCACAGAATTATCGCCCTCATTTTTCCAAGTGGAAACAGTGCTGATTTTCAACAGTCAGCAGTTCAGGATACAACTAAATGAAAAAGTGTAGAATGAAATAGATTTGCACAGTAATGTTCTGCTAAACAAACACTCTGCTGTAAATTCTTATAAAATGCTTTTCATAGGCAATGGATTCTCAGAATATTCTAGTTATAAAAGTTACATTAGATTGATAAGATCAGGTTGAGAGCTGGGCTGGAATTCATCTGGTTCACCAATTTGGTTTAACCGAATATTAAAATTTATTATTTTTAGACAGTTTATAGTTGCATATTTTTTTGGAAAACGATAATCAATAAACTCCTAAGAAGTCAGTTATATGTGAAGTTGCAAGAAAACTTAACAAGAAAGCATAATTTATTTATAATAGAGCAAGTTCGAAGGGAATTCCGATTTTGCATACTGCTCACTAAAGAATTATGCACTGTTGCCAATACGATAAATACTGAAAAGAAAGGAGGTGTGGATTATTAAAAGCTATTTTTATCGCTTATTTAAGCAGGGATTGGTTCTTAAATTTTTTTAATAAAAATAAAATCGCAGTACAGGTGTCAAAGTCCAAGATTACATCAAGAATAGTTTTCCAAGAATTTGTGTTGAACAATCAATTAAAAAGCAAAACAGGTTTGAATAAAATTAGAATATTAAAATGATAGTCATAATAGAAAACTGAAAATATCTATTTATATGCAGGAATGTATCAATCGGAGATTATAAATCAATTATAAAACGGAGACTATTTATGCTTTTCTGTCTGAAGCTGTTTCAACATGCGATATGAGTGATTATATAACTTGAGAAATGATTTAAATCCAAGATAATACATTAAGATTACTGAACTGATTAAAAATACACAAAAGTTCACTTCAGGCAATAGTCAGGGAGATAGGTATTAAATTATAATCCAAGATAGATATGTACTCCATTCATGAGATGAGGTTTGATAAAAGAATCATATGTAAAATATCTGAGTATATGTCTGAGTAAGTATGTAATATATCTTTTGAAATGAAAAACATTTAAATCTCTTGGCAGCTCATTTATAAAGATGACTGCAGTGATTGACATGAGGTCTTTTCCGAGCGCAGTTTATAAAATACTTGCAATTTATATTAAATTATAAATGGTAAAATAATATCAACAAAGAAATACAGCAACTTCAGAAGCAACAACAAGAGATGATTGCTGAAGAAAGATCTTAAAAACAAGCTTAAAAAGGAAAAATTATTTTAGTTCTCTTGCCGCAAAATTTGTGAAAAAAAAGGGGAAAGATACTCGTGCAAAGTTTTCGCATAACTATATCACCCTTATAAAGCAGTAGTAAGATTCAGCATAAGCATTTTCAATGACAGTGTTTTTTTTCATTTTAGAAACATTTTAAAACTTGAACAACAGCGAAAAACATTAGAAAACTTTTTAATGACACAGTGAATTGAATGGTTGTCAAAAAATCAAGAAATGATAAAAGAATATGTCTCCTAAAAGGATGGTTTTATGAAAAAAGACGCTTCATCCACGCGATAACATCTTCATAAATTTTAACGTATGCCATCATCTTACCTTTATATATATTCAAGGAAATTAAATCGTTTTGTTGTTTGTTTAATATTGTATTTATTTTCCCGTTCTATAGTTAATGGATTTACATTGGATTTTAGATTTGGGTTATGAATTAATACAGAAAGTAATGTTGTAAATATTAAATCAGCAATCGTTTGTGATCCGGGAAGGAATTCATCCGATTTTTATTAATTTTTATGGAGAAAATAGTTTTCTGTTGACGAATGGCCTAGATGGTCTTCAAGAACGAATTAAATTCGTGAACCGTGGTTTCATTACATAGGCAGTACGAAAATAAGAAGATAAACACGCTTGCAAACTGCGCGATCCACAGTTACACGCAAGTGTATTACAATACAGATATACTTAATAAACAATATTAAAATTAATCATAATCTATCATTAATCATAATCATAATCTATAAAGTATTACTAATAGTTTAATTAAATTATTAAACTCTATTACAACATTTGAATAACCTGACACCTGTTTTCTTTAGAGTTGCATATTATTTCATATTTCTACGTTAAATATTTCTGATTTACGTTAACACACATTTCATATGTGACAATCAAAACTGAATATGTGTTGCGAATAATCCGTATTCAAACTTGCCAACACATATTGTGAAATATGTATAAATCCAGGATATCTGGAGAAAATAAATATGTTGTAAAACTTCCTCTGGAAGGCTAATAATCTTTAAATTAATGTCTATCAATGTTTGAAAAATCAATTTAAAAACATACTTTTTAAATAATGTTATAACAGAATAGTATAATAGAGATAAGGTAATTGAAACTTATGAATTTTCGAAAATAATAAGCTTGAATAAAATAAATTAATTTTTTCGTTAAATTTAATTTCATAAAACAATCAAGAAATATCGTCTTTGGTCATATTTTATAATTCAGTTATGACTTGGTAATCGTACATATGAAGTGATGAAATTTAATTAAATTACTGCATTGTTGGCAATGTGATATTATAGAGAACTTTCAGAATGTTAAAATACAGAAATAAAAGAAAAATCATCACAAACCTGCTACTGGTGATAGCTTGCTAACGACAGCCCACCGTGATTTCCACTGTATATGGAAGAAATATAGTAATTACTAAAAATATATACGTCAGTAAATTCGCAAAAATGTAAATTGTGCACAACATTGCAAATCCTAAATACACTGATAGGTATAGTTATTCCCTTCAGAAAAGCAAGTAAATGTATTGAAAATTGGAAATCTTTAATATATTAAATCCATGTTAACAATTTTACTTGCTTTAATGAGCTAAAAAATTATCGATTCAAGAAATCTTAATAAAACCTCAATTTATTATCTTTTCTATGTTAAATTATAACGCAATTTTTCTAGAATAACTGACAAGATAGTACTGAATTTTATCCAAAACAATATTTCTCGGCTTTTCCAGATTTAGGATTTACTCAATGTTGTGTACTGCCAGTGCCTATCTAGATATTGAACACTTGCTAAATGATCATTAAAAATATTCAGATACATTCAAAAAATGTATAAATAAAATTCTAAAGAAACCAATAATATGCAACAGGAATCTATGTAACGTGAGTAAGTTTCTAATAGGGAGGCAAGGGTCTAGTTAATTAAGATACAATGACATGTCGAACAAGCCCGAATTCAGAAGTCAAACAACAAAAATTTTCATTTATGCTTTTGCAGCTGAGAATGATGGTTCGATAAAAACATCGAAACTAGTCCTGCGAAAATTTGAAAATATAACGCTGGTTTTTTGTTGTTTGACTTCTGAATTAAGGGTCTAGTTGTAAAACTTTGTTGGAAAACCTTTATATTTTAAAATTTATTCAGGATTTCTTGATTATAAATGCTATTTATTTTTGCAGCATAACTATCCCTTCATCATATTCGCACAACAAACATTTGGCAATTTTGTTGATTTTAGCACACAAATATTTTACTTAAACTATTCGTCCACTACTATTTGCCCCGGAATTGGGAGCAAATCGTAAAAGACCTTAGATAAGCGGTAAAATAAAAAAGACAATATTTAAATAAAACATTACTTAATATGGCGATAATGAATGATATTATGTGGTTTATAGTAAAACAAAGATAAACTAATTTATTTAATCAATCAGCATAAAAGTGTGCATTGGAATTTCAGTTAACGCAAACAAATGATAGATCAGTTTCCTCTCACACATTTATCGTGGCCCACATTTTGCAAATTAAGCACTGCATGCATTCTTCTTCATCAGAGTTGTTATAAGCATCTTCGCAATTTAATTAAAACCACTTTTTGTATAGAATCTGTATCAGAGTTTCTAATCATTTCATTCATCAGTTATCTGTATGGTAAATCTGTGGATTTTTTTTTTTTTTTTTACCTTTTTCTTTGCTTTATTTTTCTTTTTTCGCGTGTCATTAAGTATGTGTTTATATTCTTTTCCCAATGCTTCGTTTTCAGCTTGTCAGTTAGATGGCAGATTTTGTATTGTATTGGCATCTGTTAGGATTGTTTCCGAGGTGAAGTCTTCGGGAGGGTCTAAACTTTGAGTGAGAAAAACCCATTTTTATATTTCAGGAACAAAGATTAAATAGAAAAAGTAATCTGCATCTTAACATTTAAAGAAGGCAATTTAACAAGGCGAATCAAAATCTCGGGGCAAATTCTCACATGCTATACATGCTCCATCGTATGGTTTCTGACATTTCTGTAGAGTTAAAAAAATATTACGATTAATAAAAAAAAATTAAAGCAGCATCTTAAAACTTAATGTTTAATCAAAATAAATAAAAAAGATAAATTAACATACGTTAAATCAAAATTTACGAAATATTTTTTCTCCATTTAGTATCCAAGACAGAGCACGTTCAACGCAACCTCCCACCACCTGTTTCGGTGGGGCATTGACTGTGCTTACGTAACAAGACTTGTCATAAATATCATGTTTAGTGAAAATTCTGTTAAAAAATTTAAAAATCACTGCATAACATGCCTGATACTACTTACTCCTCTTACAACTGGCCTATACAGAATATTTCAAAAAGTATATACGTATTACAAAGTGTTATTTTGTCCAAACTATCGATCACTGCGCCTCGACTCGGCTATTGGCTAAACGAATACATAGTCTAGTTTATATTAATATCCACTAGATGTCAGTTGTCTTCTGTTTTGCGTGGTAACCGTCATATGTTTAAAACGGCTGCTCCACAGCAGAAATCATCTCGAGTTTTCGAAGTGCAATTCCGTGATTACAGTGCAAAGACATTTTAAGTTGAGGTACCAAGGTGACAGGTGACGGAGGACGAGGGCGCCTGATGTTTAACATAGGTAAACAGGCATATGCCCCGCGTCCTCCACTATCTAGTCGTTGAGGTACCAAAGTGATCCTCTGAATGGGGGAACATTCGCAGATGGTATCGACAGTTTGGAAATACAGGATATGCATGTAAAGGAAAGAGTCCTGGCCACCCTCGTGTTCAAGACGAAAATGTTGCACGAATTCAAACTGCTTTCCAACGTAGTCCTTCAAAATCAACTCGTCATGCCAGTCGGGAGTTACAACTGCTTACAACAACAATTTGGCGTGTTTTAAGACGTCGGTTGGTTATGAAGCCGTACAAGTTATATTTGCTACAGGCTCTGCGTCCTGATGACAAACGCAAACGTGTGGCATTTTGTAACGAGATTATTGATGCTATTGACAATGATAACACTTTCGCACAACGCATCATGTTCAGTGATGAAGCGACTTTTCATGTTAATGGTCATGTAAACAAACACAATGTTCGAACTTGGGGCCTAAAGAACCCACGTGCAGCCAGTGAAAATGTAAGAGATTCCCCCAAAATCAATGTGTTTTGTGCGATATCCCGATCATCTGTTTACGGCCCATTCTTTGATGGAAACACGGTGAAAGATAACGTTGTTTATGTACCCCCACTCCCACAGAACCTGGAAGAGGTGAGGAACCGGATCCGTACTGCCATAACATCAGTGACGACGGACATGCGTGCCCGAGTATGGGAGGAATTTGAGTATCGATGTGATATTGTTCGTGCCGCTGATGGAGGACATATTGAACATTTGTAATCTGAACTTGAGAAATTCGTACATATGTGTGTAAAGTTTCATATTCGTATGTCATACAGTTTAATAAATATATGCATTCGAAATACGTATATTCTTTTTGAAACACGCTGTAGTTTCAAAGATTAAGCAAAACCACCTTTTTCAGCTAAGATATTGAAAATAACAAAAAGGAAACATAAGCCTCTGTTACTTATCATTGATTTTTGATTTTTACTAATCATTGATCATCATGCACCCCTTTTATACTTCGGGCGCCACTGTAGAGTCACTAGGTTATTCTGAAGCGGGAGGCATGAAAAATGAGCAATGCCCTCGCCGGGACTCGAACCTGGACCTCTCGAATAGGCGCCAAGTATGCTAATCGTTACACCACGAAGGCATGCAGAACGTATTGAGAAAATACCTTATACAGTCTTAATCCCGAATAAATGCACCTAATAGAACAGTTTTAACAAAAATATGCTATTAATGTATTGTAACTATTTTGAACATTAGCTTTAGCAAAAGGAAATAAGAAAGTTAGTAAATTAATGAATTTTTTGGGTATTGATAAATCTCATTCTAGAAATGTGAGCATATTTTGAAATAGTGTTGAATCATAGCAAATGGCAGTAATCTATAATAAAACCCTTACGATAAACGCATTTATTACCAATTAGATTTTCAAGTCAATAGTAAATTAAATGAATACATAACTTCGTTCATATTAAGTTCAAGTTATATTACATTCATGCTAATTTAAATTTATTTCCTCTCAGATCAATGAGAATACAAAAATTAAGACTGTCTGCAAGGAAAACTAATTTTACCTTTTGTGTTATGTCTTAACATAACAAACAAAATTTTAAAAAAATAATACTAGAGCCTGCTTTGCTGAATTCAGCTATCTGAAGTCAGAATCAGATATGGAGAGATTAAATTTTAAATCAGGAACAACCTCCAGTTTGTCATGATAACTGCGAACGGCAATAAATTGAAGAAGATGAAGAAATGAGCGGCAAAACGTTAAAACTAGTGCTTCATTATTTTCATTTCCATCTCAGAGTGAAAACCGAACAGGAATACACCCTTTTTAGAAGACTGCCTCTATGATGGAATCAGTTCAAAACTCGGCAAGCTGTTCTTTTTCCTGAGATGATAATTTTGCGGTTGTTGAAGTATGAAGCTTAAAGAAATCTTCATTTTAAGAATCTGAAATATAGTAGATTCTCAAATTTTGCTTGAAAAAAAAATATGTTTTAACAATCCTAAGACCTATTTAAATGCGTTATTTAAATGCGGTTCACTTCGACTTCTTTGTAAACTAAATCACTTTTCATTAAGAAGTCAAAGTGTTTCAGATATTTAGGACGGATTTTTTTCAATACATGAATCCTAAAAATCGAACTTTTCATCATAAAATAAATTTTGTACGACACTTTGAAAAACATTTATGGAACTGTTCTGCAGTACTGGAAAGAGCGTTTTATTTATATAAAATATAAATATAAAAGGTTCTAAAGCCATTTATCATTGTGAAATTTTAAGCTTAATCGAAATTAGTGATTTTCAAAAACATTTGAACCTCGTGTCTCAGACATCGAGTAGTTAGAAATGCTTCGGCACTCAAGCCAAATCAAAGCTCCTCGACTTCGGTTTCGCGCAAAGATCTACTTTTTAATCACTTATGCAAATTTACATAAACAACACTTTACATTTAACAAATATAAAAGAAAAAACTAATTAAAAACAAAACTCCACAGTAAAATTGGTTTTAATGTCATCATTGTAGAGAACTTTCTTACTTTATGACTTCCTTAATATTAAAAACACCTTTGGCTACCAGTCGTTTTATACGACATCGAAGGAGTAATTACACGCGATGGGCAAGGTATCGAGCAAAATGATTGGTTGGGCAAGGATAATTCCAATTAATTGCATTACTTTTGCACACATTTGTATATTTTAAGAGTCACATCGGAAATCCTTGCAATAACTTTCAATTTTACCCAAT